TTTTTAGCAATACTTTCTACTTCACTTTTCCAACTGAGATTAGAATCAATAAGAATACCCAAATACTTGATTGAAGTATCTCTCTTAAGAGGTTGGTTCATCATTGACAAGTTGAAGTTATCTCTAACAGTTCTCTGTCTAGCATGAAATATTACATAATTAGATTTTTCAATGTTAAGAGACAATTTATTTGCACACAACCAATTGTCAATATTAACCAATTCAGAATTTATATTTGCTTCCATAGAGGATAAGTTATTATCCTCAAAAAACAAATTACCATCATCAGCAAATAGCGTAAATTCAAATAATTTAGAACAATTTTGAAAGTCATTTATATATAGTAGAAAAAGTAAAGGTCCTAAAACTGAACCCTGTGGAACACCACAGCTGATTGGGCAGTTGTTTGATGTTTCATTATTTATAGTTACAAATTGCTTTCTGTTACGTAAGTATGAGATAAACCACTTGCAAGCAACGCCCCTTACCCCATAGCAAGATAATTTCTGAATTAAAATTTCATGATTAACAGTATCAAAAGCCTTATTGAAATCCAAAAATATTCCACATGCATAATTACGATTGTCAATTGCTTTTTGTACTTTATCTACAATTGATAAAATTGCATACTCAGTTGAATACATGGTGCGAAAACCAAATTGCCTTTCAAATAAGACTCTATTTTTGTTCAAAAAATTTAATAGTCTCTTATACATTAACTTTTCTAATAATTTGTCAAAAATAGAAAGGAGTGAGATAGGTCTATAGTTGCATGTGCAACTAAGAGAACCTTTTTTTGTAAATTGGTATGACATTCGCAATTTTAAAGTCATTTGGAACAATTCCATTAGAGAATGACATATTAATTAAATATTCTAGAGGTTCAGATATGACTGATTTAACCATTTTGAGGACAAAAATTGGTATACTAAAGGGACCAACAGCTTTACTTGATTTAAACTTACTAATTTCTTGTTCGATTTCCCCTCTAGTAGTCGGAGAAATAAAGAAACTGTTTCTAATAGGTATTCCTAGGTATTCAGTTGGAGTGTTTTGAACAGTTGGTATTGAATCTGCAAAATTCTTACCAACATTTGAGAAATAATTATTAAAAATATTTGCAATAAGTTTGGGGTCACTTATTTCCTGATTTCCATTCATAATTTTTGTACATTTGAATTGTTGAGGTTTTGATTTCACAATTTCTTTAATGCCCTTCCATACTTTTTTGCTGTCCTTACTATTTTTGATAAAATATTCATTATAATATTTTTTCTTACTAATTTTTAGGAGATGATTTATTTTATTTCTATATAATTTAAATTTAGCATGGTAATAAGTAGATTTTGTTTTTATCCACTTCCTATACAATTTATTTTTTAATTGGATAGACACTTTTAAGCCATGAGTAATCCAAGGCTTTGACTCAAATTTATTTTCTTTTCTAGTCATAGGACGTTCAGGTATATGCCTGTCAATCATCTGAGAAGTAATATCATAAAATATCTTAAACACCTGTGATGGATCTAAGTCAGTTGCAAATACATCTGGCCAATTTATACTATTTAACTCATTCATTAAATCAGGTTTATTTAGTTTAGAGAAATCTCTTATAGTTTTACTTATATTTGCTGAAAGAGGTTCATATTTATTTATAATCAGAAAATTTGGTAAATGATCAGTAAGATCATACACTATATTGCCACTTATTACAGAATATTCAAGTGAATTAAAAAATATATTATCAATTAGGGTAGCAGAGTGATCTGTCACTCTAGTTGGTTGCAATATTAGAGGTTGGAAAAAATTTGAACCCAATGAATTTCGAAACTCGTCAGTATTTTGATGAGTTTCAAATTTAAGTAAATCCAAATTGAAATCTCCAAGTATAATACAGGTTTTTTTCATTTGGCTAATTTTCTCTAGAATATCATTTAAGTATCTATTAAAATTTTCAGGATTGCCAGTAGGATGCCTATATATAACACCACACAAAATATTTGAATAATTCGTATTTAGTACTTCAATCCACAAAGCTTCAAAGTTATCCGTGGTGATAGACATTTCAGAATGTACAAGATAATCAACACTGTCAGCAACATAAAAAGCAACACCACCAGCATTGCTTAAACTTGGTTGTGCAATAAATTTATAACCTGGTATATCAGTGTTGGAAATTGCAGGTTGGTCAACTTTCAATTTTACTTCTGACAGATGTACCGTATATCATAAAAAATATTATACCTCAAATTCGAATTGCCCAATCAAAAAACAGCATTTGTACCACATGACAATGTCATTTTTTACGGTATTTCACTCAAATTCATGATTTCGCAATGCAGCGGAGATATTATATAATTTATTATATATTATATAGTAGAGAGTGAGATACTGAAAAATACACAGCGAGATATTTTCCATGCATATCTTCACTAGTGAAGATATCGATCGATAACGTGACTTTTCAATTTGCTTTTGAGCGTGAAATTTCACAATTTTTTGCTTGGGACTATATATAATAAACAGAATATTACACGGTGGGATCATTAAAACCTGTATATATTACGGGCAATTCATCACAACATATAAACTCACAGTGTACTTTGCTCGCCATACAGGTGCTCTATGGTCACATACTGCTTTAGCATTTCGTGTGTCTTCAAAAATGTCCCACACCTAATAAAAAACGTAAACAGTCATGATAAAACTAACAAGGGGCCGATGGCAGTTTCGGCGAGCGCGCCCTTACCTCGGCGTTATATCAGGTATTGCGTGAGAGTTTTTTCAACTTGCCTTTTCAATTGAACTTTACGATAACTGCGGTAACAATTATTACAAAATTAAAAATAAATAAGTGTATAAAAAGAAAACGAATATAAGAATTGCATGACAGTTGATATGTAACTGATTATTGCCGCGCACGTAGCGAAAACTCTCGTCAAAATTTGAATCAGCTCAACGTTTGATAGTGTTCATCAGAGCGTACGAGGTATATCAACTCTTGTCAACTGTTATCCTGGGGCCAGTTGTATAAAAACGTCGTTATAACTTTAACTATGATTAGCGTTAATCACTGTAGTTTAGAGCTGCGCGGTTAACCGAAAAATTCGGTTCTTCCGGTACTTTTTCTAGTACCGAAAAATTATACGCTAAAGAACCGGTAGTTTCGGTTTTAATTTCCCGTTTAATGCCCGCCAAACGCCCACCTGATTGCAGGTTGAAATGTTGGGAAAATAACAAGATTGTGCTCTTTGTGCACAATATGCACTGTACTAAGTGCTCAAATAGTTGATATTTTAGTTGTGATAGTTATTGCTGTGAACTTGCTTTAAATATTTTAAAAAAGAAATATTTCATCTTCATAAATAAACTCCAATTGTTCTTTTAAAATATTCAGAGATTTATACAAACTTACAAAGGCATAAATTCATCATCTACTTAGTAAAAATGCTCGAAACATACATAAATGAGTTCATACATTTGTACTGTTCTTCTTTTTTGAAAATAACCAAAACCGAACCGAACCAAGGTTTTTCCGTTCCAAAAAAACAAAAACCGGAACCGAGATAAAATTTTTGGAACCGCTCTACTGTTAACTACACGACTTAATTGCGTTGCACAAAACGTAGTTTGTCGGATGATTATGTGGGGCTTGCGTGGGGTGGTTAAACAGTAAAATTACATAAAGTAAAGGCTGATTAACGACCGCTTACAAGCATTTTTTACCTGATTGTGGACTCGCATTTTCCAAATAGGCGGGAAATTTACTCAAAATAATGAAAAATAAAAGAAAACAAGGAAAACTCAACGAAAAAGGCCGTTGTCTTCCCGTGCAAAAATAGATTTTGTTTTCGCAAAAACACAAAAGCGATAGCGTTTGAAGAGTTTATATTGTCAGCAAACATTCACAGAGAAGATAGCGATTGAAAATCCCAGGTAAACATTGCTTTTCATTATTGTTTTACTGAAAAATGTTTTTCCCTCCTATATATGTAGCGCCATTTTTAAAGGCCATGTTACACGGTGCAATTTCTTGAAACCTGCAATGCAATGGCTTGCGTTGTAAGTTGCAAAGCAGATTGCATCGTCTAACACCCCTAGTGTGCAACTTGCAATGCAATAAAAAATTGGATTGCAAGTTGCATGGAAAGTTGGACCGGCTTCTACTTTTTGCAATGCTGCGAGACAAGTTGCAGCGTCTAACACCCCCATGATAGCAACTTGTCTCTCGCAATACTTAGGAAATTAGCCAATCAGAAAGCTGCATTAGCCTGCGATAAGGATGAATTTTTGGCAATTCAAAATGGCGGACTTGAATATTGTTGAGCTTCGATCAAACCACGAGCGAAGAAGAAAAAATGAAAATGAACGGGCAAATGATCAGGCAAAGACGATAAAATTAACAGATTTTGACAAAATTGCCATTTTGGAGGCGGTGAAAAATTGTCCTTGCCTATGCCTATGGAAGAGCGGTGACAAACAAGAATTCATGCTGGCGCGAGATTGCAGGTCGCAAACAAGTTGCACTCTCGTCTGACATGTCACTGCAACTTGCAATATTTATTTTTAATAAATTTTAATAAAGAACTTTATTTTTAAAATATTGCATTGCAGGTTGCAAGAAAAATTGCACCGTTTGAGAAGTTAACGATACCCAGGGATATTTTCAAGCACTTTTCTACTAACCGGTGTACGGTAGTAAATACTCAATACTTGATTTTTGTTAAATGTTCCATTAAAAACCTGTTTTTCTATATAATTTTGATAATATTTTTACTTTAGCTACTTTCCGGATAGTTTACCATCTATCCTCAGGCCATTTACACAAATGAAAAAAAATGCAATTTGTGTAAATAGCGTGACGATAGTAAACTATCCGAAAACGTAGCTAAAGTAAAAATATTATCAAAAACCTCTTGTGTGATCCTTGAAAATGATTTAAATTAAAAACCCCAAATTATCTAATATGAACAGAGGTGAAAGTTTAAGAAAAACAATTAAATTACACTAAACTAAGCAATTCTAAATCAAACTGAACTACACTAAAAATAACCCATAACTCGGAAAATATTCTACCTTTACAGCATTATCAAGACTACATGTTAATAACTTGTGACCATCAACAGGTGACCAATCCAGACCATTGATCTTTGAAAGATGTGCCGAAATGTACCTAACCGGCGTGTCTCCTTTCTGAAATTATAAAAAGAACTTATTATGTTTACATGTACGAAGGCTCGTATTGTGACGTGGTATAACCATGGCAACACGATATTTTTAAATTTTAATTTTTTGTATGTCTGCTTGGTACTTGATTCTTCAAGCTTGCCTGACTTTATTGTTGTGTAATACTAGACGTGATGTTAATGTAAACGTTTAGTTAATAGTCTGAGTCATATACCATGCAAGCTTACAAACCTACTAAGTACTAGACTATTTAGTTCTCCGGAAGCGTGTCTCGAGGTCGCGGGTTCGAAACCCAGCCGCGGTAGGCAGAGTTTTCTGCAGTCTGGAAACTATGTTACATTTCACTCGAGAAAATACGTGATCTCGAATTTAAACGCAGTTATCTCAGTCAATGCTGTATTAAAATTAACATGTAATAAATTTAAGTTAGACATTACTGAACACAATTAACTCTTATTTACTGGGAGCGAGGGAAACAGTATGTTTTGTGGACCCGAGGGAAACATCGACGGTCGAGGGTCCACAAAACACACTGCTTTCCCGAGGTCCCAGTAAATAAGTGTTTTATTATATACCAATAGTCAAAGAAACAACAAATTAAAGAACAAATGAACGTAAATACATGAAATATTTTATTGTTAAAACGTTAAATTAAACACTGCAGTAACTTAAAGCGAAAGTTTAAATTACTAGGCATGTCCATGCAAAGGTCGCATCTTCACGTGATGGCGCACGTGATTTTTTTTCGTTATTCGCCGGTCGATAACGTATTATTGGCATGGTAGAAAACCCGGGTACCGGATAACCGGATAATCGGATAACCGGATAACCGGATAACCGGATAATCGGATAACCGGATAACCGAATAGTATATAGAGATTTTTTCATGGGAAATACTTACGTGTGGTATTTACGCACGCGTTATAATCTGTTTTCGCAAATTAAACGAACGAGCGAGTGCAAAATTTGTTCTTCATAGACGATACAGAGTTTATTTATATTACACAGCGAAAAATATAAAGGTTAATATGTTTCATAAAGCGAGACAATCAGATAAACAAAGTCGTGTCGTACAAAAATACATCGGAAAATACAAATTTTCAGTATTAATGAACAGGAAAGGAAATATCAATTTATTATTATTATTTACAAATATTTTAAAACGGTAGCTCTTCAGAACACCTATGATCCGTTTTTCAAGAGGCCGTTTAAACTAATATTTACAAAGTTTAATAAAAATTACATCTAAAATATAATATAATATAAATTATCACACAGTTAAAGTCTAAGAGAATATATACAAAATATTGTATGCACACATAAATATAACTAACAAATATTGTCGTTTTCTCTGAGAAATGTTTTGAATTGTCCCATCGTCATTTCTTTTGCCTTAATCTCATTTGGCAAATTATTCCAGCATTTTGCGCCTGAGTAGCTAATACTTTTATTGAGGAAATTAGTCTTAGGTTTATCCAGTTGAAAATTAATTCCGGTATTTCTAAGGTCATATTTTTCATTATTAGAGAATCTAAACAAATTAGCCATATTTGCCGGTGCCTCCTGATTTTTAACATTAAACATGAATGTGAATCTCCCGCTCTCCCTTCTTTCCTCAAGTGTTTGCCAATTAAGCTCTTTTAGCAATTCACTTGTTCGTATTTCATATGATTTGCCAGTAATTATTCTTTCCGCTCTATTTTGCATTTTTTTGCATCTTGTCGTGCAAGTAATTGCTGCAATTTTCCCAAACTAGACTGCAATAATCAATAAAAAGGAAATATCAATAAAATAATGCACACTAAAAATTCTTAATTTGTTAAAAATTCGGAAAAAAAAATACCGGTGTGTGTGAAAATATTGCTGCAATCATTATTGCGTAAAACGTGCCTTTCTGACCGATAGCTACTAATAACGAACAGAAATCCTCGGCAGAAATCAGTCTCAAAGTAATAAATATTTGCCCGAAAAATAGAAATCAAACCTAGAATTGTTATTTGTTGAGAATATTAAATGCCCATCTTTGTTTATTGTTGAAAACATGACAATCAAAATATTAAAGTAACAACAGTTGATTGGCTTCCTTGTTTTTACCGACTTAGCTACTCTTGAAGTGCAAAGGATAATTTTCAATTCTCGTTAGAAGTTGGTATTTTTAATAGCATCACTTTAATACAGACAGTTCTTTAATATTGATCCTTTCTCACATGAAATATTTTATAAAAAACCTGGTAAAAAAGCTTTTATAGCGCGTGATAATATAAACCTTTCGCTCAATTAAAATGACAAAAATACAAACAAGTTAGAGTTATAGATCATGTATTATAAAGTTGGTATATATAAATGATGTTTCAACGCATGCATGCATGTGTGTCTATTCGTTCATGTTTAAACTGTAAATTAAACTGACACTCAGTGAGGGAATTTTAGTACAAGTAAAAATCCTACGACTCTATCCGCGTTTTCGCTCGAGTTTTCGCTTGCTCTGAGATTCAATATTGTTGGCCGTCTATAATATGGCATAGCATACCGAGCATACTAGCCTACATATAAGAAGGTCGCACACGACGACGCGGTACTAGGTTATATGTCCTGACTCCTATATATATCATTATGGAGGTACTGACACAGTATAGGCTATAGCACGAAAGATTGCATACACTACAAATTATTCTCTTTTAGGATGCGCCAGTTTTATATTTATAAACAACAAGTTGATCTTCTGCTGACATGTTTGTACTGAATCAACTTGTTGTTTATAAGTATAAAACTGGCGCATCCTAAAAGAGGATAATTTGTAGTGTATGCAATCTTTCGTGCTATATAGCCTATACTGTGTCAGTACCTCCATAATGATATATACAGGAGTCAGGACATCAGATAGCCTAGTACCGCGTCGTCGTGTGCGACCTTCTTATATGTAAGCCAGTATGCTCGGTATGCTATGCCATATTATAGACGGCCAACAATATTGAATCTCAGAGCAAGCGAAAACTCGAGAACTGAACGCGGATAGAGTCGTATAGGATTTTTACTCGTACTAAAATTCCCTCACTGAGTGTCAGTTTAATTTACAGTTTAAACATGAACGAATAGACACACATGCATGCATGCGTTGAAACATCATTTATATATACCAACTTTATATTAAATACATGGTCTATAACTCTAACTTGTTTGTATTTTTGTCATTTTAATTGAGCGAAAGGTTTATATTATCACGCGCTATAAAAGCTTTTTTACCAGGTTTTTTATAAAATATTTCGTGTGAGAAAGGATCAATATTAAAGAACTGTCTGTATTAAAGTGATGCTATTAAAAATACCAACTTCTAACGAGAATTGAAAATTATCCTTTGCACTTCAAGAGTAGCTAAGTCGATAAAAACAAGGAAGCCAATCAACTGTTGTTACTTTAATATTTTGATTGTCATGTTTTCAACAATAAACAAAGATGGGCATTTAATATTCTCAACAAATAACAATTCTAGGTTTGATTTCTATTTTTCGGGCAAATATTTATTACTTTGAGACTGATTTCTTCCGAGGATTTCTGTTCGTTTTTAGTAGCTATCGGTCAGAAAGGCACGTTTTACGCAATAATGATTGCAGCAATATTTTCACACACCCCGGTATTTTCTTTCAGAATTTTTAACAAATTAAGAATTTTTAGTGTGCATTATTTTATTGATATTTCTTTTTTATTGATTATTGCAGTCTAGTTTGGGAAAATTGCAGCAATTACTTGCACGACAAGATGCAAAAAAATGCAAAATAGAGCGGCAATATTTTCATTAATACTGAAAAATTTGTATTTTCCGATGTATTTTTGTACAACACGACTTTGTTTATCTGATTGTCTCGCTTTATGAAACATATATAAACCTTTATATTTTTCGCTGTGTAATATAAATAAACTCTGTATCGTCTATGAAGAACAAATTTTGCACTCGCTCGTTCGTTTAATTTGCGAAAACAGATTATAACGCGTGCGTAAATACCACATGTAAGTATTTCCCATGAAAAAATCTCTATATACTATCCGGTTATCCGGTTATCCGGTTATCCGGTTATCCGGTTATCCGGTTATCCGGTTATCCGGGTTTTCTACCATGCCATATTACAATTTAATACAATATTGCAGATTTTGTAAATGTTGTTTTAAATTAAACAGCAATTTTGCAATTTTAGTAAAATTGTTCATGATTCATCACAAAAAACCATCAGGAAGAAAACGATCTTTCGGAATTGTGCTCTCAGATTTAATATATGTGAGAAAGTTGGCTTTTGTTAATACACTACAGTACTACACGAGAAGTTTCAACACCATTACCAGCCCAAAGATGTAGAAACATCAGGAAAGCGTAAACTGTTAATTCCTGACACGCTGACCGTGGCGCTAGTCCATTCAACCAAACTGAATCAAATCGCGTTTGTTCTCCGCGATGTTTTCTGGGTAGTATGTCTAGAACTGAATCGAAATCTGCGCGTAAAAGTACAGTGCTTGTTCAGCAGCAGTACGAAAGATGATCTCACTGGCCCGTCATCAAGAAATAGCACAGGTACTGCAGACAACGTGGATGTAAATACTGATTCCGACGATGTACCGAAGTAAGCTCAACATCGACGGTTTGAAAACGTGTGAAGGGCGTTCGTGGGCGTTCGTCACTTAAATTAACTGTGCTTAAATCATTAAAAGTGCTTTTAGGTCATCCGAATGGGAATATTGTGACTCGAAACCCTACAAACGAAAAGTGGCTGGACCACAGTGACGAACGCCCTTCACACGTTTTCAAACCGACGATGTTGAGCTTAATACTTTTATATAGTACATCATCAGAATCAGTATTTACAATTTTACATCCATACACATTAATTGTTTGCAATTATCCTGTGCTATTTCCTGACGACTGGCCAGTGAGATCATCTTTTGTATCGCTGCTGAATAAGAAAAAATAGCCACCATCGATGTTTAAGATAGATCGAGGATTAAATAACAACAATATTGAAATCAACAAATACTACGGTTTTCCACTGACTTGGTATTGACCAATCAGGTGATCGCATTCACCGTCCAGAATCTGAACGGCGTGTAGTCATGAAAGGCGGGCTTTCCTGCAGGCCCTTAATCCTCCCCCGGAGCCCGCCAAAATCACTGAGCTATACTATATTACTGGAGGACGTGCTCGGCATCAAAAAGTGTCCGCAAAAACATGGCGGATTTCGGCCTTTGCTGACGCCAGAATGACGCCATATGGTTCCTCCGGCTCATGGTAATTACCACTGTCCAGGCTCAATTTTGAGCCCGCTACGACTTTCACACCCCCCTGGTTCTTATTAAAATATTTTTGCTTGTTGAAGTATTTGCAGTATATTCTCGTAGTTTTTGATTTTTTCATATTTTTTGTACCTTTCACCACTGGTTCAAATGTGTGCAAGTCGTACACATTATATTCTCGTCCTCAAAAGACAGAAAACCTCGAAATACATCCGCAAAGACGATATTTGAAGTCGCAACTACAGGTAAAATATTTCTCAGTTCATAACTTCACACACTGAGTCACACTCGAGCAAATTTTCTACAAAAATTGTTGGGTTTAACTGTGGTACAATGTATTATATTTTAGCCACAAGTATGTAAAGGTCTCTAAAGCCTTGTTGTACAAAGTAATCAACTTTCGTTTCATTTAAATCGTGAGCAAAATGGTATTTTGATCTATTGTTTATTTGTTTACATGCTCTATTTGTTGCATATTTTATGATGTTTTGAATATTTGAATTTGAATTTGAATTTATTAATTGACATTCCCTAAAATGGGCTTTTCAATGACAATTTACATGGATTTTAGAAAAAAAAAATATGAGTTATCGACTATATATATTTACAACAATCGTATCAAAGTTATTACATGAACTAAAATTATACTATATATTATAGTTTATGAATTAAAAAAGTTAAAAAGAAGGACACCGCTTCTCAATAAGAATTGTCTTAAGTTTCGTCTTAAAATTGTTCAGATCACTAATTGATTTCAGCTCTGTATCTAGACCATTCCATATCTTAGTCCCTCGGTATTTGAACGATCTTTGCCTAGTATCTCGGTTATGAATTCTGTTTCGTGGTTCAAAATTATCACATAAATACTGTGGAGCTTTGTCATTCATACATTTAAATGTCAATAACGCATCTCTGTACAATAGATGTTCTTTGATTGACAACCATCCTAACGCGTTTAATGTTGGTGATATATGATCATACTTATGCACCCCTGTAATTAATCAGGCTGCGCAATTTTGGATTAATTGGATCTTTTGTATGTTGCCATCTGACGTATTAGACCATACTGTTGAACAATAGTTAATTTTACTCATGACTAATGTATCGATGATTGTAACTAGTGTTGACTGATCAAAGTTGTGTTTCACGCGACCAATCTGACGCAATTTTGAGATACACGATGAGGACAATGCTTGTATATGTTTGTCGTACGTTAGATGGGAGTCCAAAAGCAAACCCAAATCCTTAACCTCTGTCACAGGTGCAAGATTTTCTCCCATAAAATTAAATATTATTTTTCTCCCATAATATTAAGCCTGCTGTGCAGTTTGTATTTCATGATACTATTTTGAAAATTTATAATTTTCTGTAGGTGGCACGAAACTGTGCATTTTACAAATATCAAATTATCTTAATTTGACCCTGGGGACGGATTTTATGACATGAAAGTACAGTATAATGTGCTACCAGCTAGTACTTACCACTATATTTTGAGGGAATAACAAAGAGAATTTATAGTATTTTATATTTTGTACTAACTTTATATGCAAAAGCTAGAGGTACTCAAGGAAGCTCATTCTGCTGTCGGAGTACCTTAATGAGTTTTGAATCACTATGACTGTAGTTCTTGGGTGGGGGTTCTAGTTAATGCAGGATGATGCAACCACTGTAGCTAAGACTAAGACAAATAAACCCCGAAGTTTCAGCTGAAGAGCTTGGGGTCTTTATATTTGTTCATATTTTTTTAGCTTTTGGTGTACATACACATAGGATTATGGTTTCTGTAACTTCTAATAGTTTCTTGATAAATATAATTCTGAAAAAACAATGTATTTTTAAGGGGTCACTCAACTTGCCAACAAAGTTCGAGCATTGTCTGAAAACCTAGTATATTTCTTTTGTATTCCTCATTTTCCCTTGATATGATTTTTCATGCTTTTTCTCTTTTAGAGTAACCTATATAATCTATTCTTGTTTATTGCAGAATTATTTACCACCACAATGATGCAGTTGAAATTGTATTATTTTAATTTAAATTCTTCAATGAATAATTATTAACTACCAATCACCAATGAGTCATTCCAGAAAAGATAAACACTAACTCCACAGATGTCTGATGTGCTGTCTGACGTGGGCAGAACTCAACTGCTGATAATAGTAAAAGTATTAGCTAAGGGTGTCCAAAAGTGGGAGGAAGCTCAACCTCCCATCTCTTCCATTAGGGGTGTGGATATTTTTTTGAATGACCCAATCAGTTTGAACTAACTGTATAATCAAGTTATTCTAGTATAATTATCACTTTGTAGTCCCATGAGCTGTGACATCACTTTGGCTGTTTGGAATGTTTATCTCTTTTCAATTTTCTTTTGGTAGCGATAACAGATTACTACTACAGATACTGTATTACTACTACAGATACTGTATTACTACTACAGATACTGTATTAGACACATTGTTACACCCAAATAAGATCATATACATCAATGTTAACTATCATGATATTTTTGCTTCAGTTCAAGAACATTTTTGCTTCAGTTCTTGTATAATTACATATCACTTTAATGCCTGTAATAGAAATGAGAAATAAAGTTACTTTGTTTATGATTGTTTTATTCTATGGTGTGAAACTGTTTCATGTACATTTCAAAATTAATTGCAATGGGTGCATACTGTAGGTTCTGGCCAGTTAGCTGAGACCACCACCCCTACTTTGCAAGTTACAGCTGTGGCTGGATTGGAACTATTAGCTCTTGTGCACCACTAATCTTGTATAAATCTGAATTAACCCATTAAGCGCCATCGCTCTCCCCAATTGATGAGTAAAATTATCTGGTGTTAGACAGAGTAAATAATCTGGTGTTAGACAGAGTAAAGGGCGCATCAGGGTGCAATGTGACTCATAACTAGACACATAGGCTAGTTATTAACCCATTAAGCACCAGCACTCTCTACTTGATGAGTAAAATCATCTGGCATCAGACAGAGTAAAATAATAAAGTAGGGTGCAATGTGACTCAATGGGTTAACCTCTAAGGGACCTAAATAAATATGGCTAAACATAAATCAAGACTCCCATGACAGAGGTATTTTCTGAGTGAAGGAGGTTTTTTGTTTGGAGATTTTTATGAGGCATAGAGGTTGTCAGGTTGACCCATACTAGCATTACCCTGGAACCAGAGGGTATTTATTTTCGCCTGTTTTGAATAACCCTCTGGTGAAATTGGCTGGGTTTTTGGGGTCACATTCCACACATAACTTTCAAAATTGGAACCTAGAAGTTGATTGGTTGCTGACTAGGTTCGATAGACTACGTGTTCTGATTGGATATTGTAAGCACATAGCCTGTTCGCAGGCATTTCGTCAGCATGCATGCCGTAGCCATAACCATAGAGAATCAGAGATCTCTATGGCCATAACACTAATTTTACTTAGAGAATTTTACTGTAAAACAAGAAATCAAGAATTGAAAAATTTGAAATGTCTATAAACGAACAAGAGTTGAAAGAAGCAGTTCAGGCTACTTTGGAGGATAAATTTCCTGATATAAAAAGCTTAACAGATCATCAATACCGCGCCTTGTCCAATTTGATTGATCGTAAAGATGTATTTTGCATACTGCCTACCGGTTATGGGAAGAGTTTAATATTCCAAATAGCACCGAGTGTAGCACAACGACTTGGAAAAACCCACAATTTCCCAGAGAAACCCATCTTAATAGTCATTTGCCCATTGAACTCTTTGATCGACTCTCATGTCCGTGAACTAAGAAAGCGTGGATTCAGTGTTACTTCACTGTCAAACGAAGAGGACGAGAAAGCAATTCTAGATGGAGAGTTTATATTTGTATTTTGTAATCCCGAGTCTATTATTCGAAGTGCGAAATGGAGAGAAATGGTTTCGTCAGAAATATACCAGGCAAATTTGCTTGCTTTTGTAACAGACGAAGTTCACGTCGTCCCAAAGTGGTGGGTTAATTAATAAATTTAAATACAGATTTTCTTAAGCCCTTTCTTTGCCTTGTTTGTATTTATAAACTGGCAGGCAGATTTCGATATCATTTTTAATCACATATTTGCAGATCATATAATTACAATAATTTGCTATAATCAGCCCAACAGGAGGACCAGCCCTCCCTGTAGGGCTCATGTAAACACTGTTTGAACCTGAGAGTATGTATGAAGTACAACATAATTTGTTTTTATGTATGTACATTATACTTCTTCACTGAATTAGGAAAAAACATCTAGTATCTGTATATGAGCTAACAACTTTATAAATTTTAATACTGTAAAGGATAAAAATATTTATATTTAATACTGTAATTTATTTGTTTTGGTGGAGAAATCCAGAATAATTTTTTTCTTATCATATGTAGGGGACTTGGAAAAGGAGAAAGAGCAGCTTTTCGAGAATGCTTTTCCCGTCTATCTGAACTTAGGTCACTTGGTCCTCAAAGGCCGCTCGCACCAGTTTTGGCTCTTACCGCTACTGCAACAAAGAAAATTCAAGAAACTGTACTCCAAGTCTTATCATTCAGGCAAGATTATGCCCTAATAGAGGAAACACCAAATAGAACAAATATCTATTTGTCTAAGGCACGAATTGGCAAGAATTTAAAATTGGCCTTTCAGTTTCTACTTGATAAACTTAAAAAGGAGAAACAAGACATGGAGAGAACTATTGTTTACTGCAAATCAATAAAGCTGTGTGCATCTCTGTATTCATTGTTCAGAATTGAACTTGGTTCTGATGCATACCCCATTGACATGGAACCCAAATCTAAAAATTGTTTGTTTGGAATGTTTCACCATTGCACAAGTGAAATAATCAAGAGTCAAATTCTGGAGTCACTACATATAGAATCTGGGGTTTGTAGACTTGTATTTGCTACAAATGCATTGGGAATGGGTGTGAACTTCAGGGACATACGTCTTGTCATACATTTGGGCCCCCCTCGCAACATTGATGACTACATTCAGGAAATTGGTAGGGCTGGCCGTGACGGTTTACCATCGAAAGCAGTATTGTTTTATAATGGCATTCTGCTTAAAGGAGCAGATGACAAAATGCGAGCATATTGTTCTGATGAAACAAATGTTTGCATGAGAAGAACACTTCTGCATGATTTTGATCCAAACCCAGTCCAACCAGACATTGATCATTTTTGCTGTTTGCATTGTCATAAGCATTGCCTTTGTAGTGGGAACTGTTGTAGTGAGGAAATAGTCAACTGTCATGAAACCACCGAATCACATGTGGATAGTGACAACTCCATTACTGTGAAAGAAAGGAGTGTTTCAAGAGAAGATAAACAATTATTGGAGGACATTCTGGTTGATTATCAATCTCAACTTGCAGGAAATTGCAACTATTATTTGCATGCACAGTATTCCACAGGTTTCTCTAATAAACTGATTCAACTTATTCTCCAGCAAGCAAAGTATGTTTTTAGCATAGACTACATTATGACACACCTACCTGTATTTAATCGCCAACATGCGATGGAGATACTAAATATTTTTCATGAATTATTTGATGACATTGACGAAACCGACCTTGAAGCTGTTGATAATGGCACAGATGGTTGCTCAAGAACTGAACTAAATGAGAATGAGTTCCAGCCTTATTTATTAGTTGATATGCATGATTCAGATGAGGAGTCTACTTCAGATTGAATATGAAATGGAAAGCCTGATTGAAGACTATGTTTTCAGATATTAATGCTGTTGTAGGTATGTCATTATTTTATAATCATGGGCTGTTGGGCAAACAAAGCCAGTTGGGCAATATATTCACTTCACAGTCGGGCAATATTGGCTTATTATAAAAATAAATGGAACAAATTCTGTCAATTTTTGGGCATTCGCCAAACCTAAAAACCTCTGGGACAGGGTAATTATGAAAGAAAATACTCAATCATTGTAGGAATAATTAAACATATACAAGGTATATATGCCAACATGAAATTGCCAACAGTACAGTAAGTACATAGTACAGTTAGCCATAGTACAGTTTTTATAGTAAGAATTGTAAAATTCAAAATTTTTCTGGGTGACCACATGCCCTTAGATCCCTCTCTAGAGGATAACTAAATAATAACTCAATCTTCTACAAACTGGTAGTTGATTAATTTAAAATGCTTGAAATATCCCTGATTTTATACCATTTATTGCATATTTTCCACAACATTTACTATAATATGTCATATCAAAATATCAAAACCAAGTTTATTTTTAGCATCATCAAGCTTCCTTTTGTGTCATTCATCTAGTCATTTAGGTTTTTGAAATTTATATTATTTAGTACATTGTGATCAAACTTGGGAAACTTGTCATACTCCCTGCCTTCTGTGAAACAGAACACTTCACCTTTTATTTGGAACTGGTTGACAAGTTCTTTAAAGTCAGACTCCCACTTCGCAATTACATGATGACCTGATGGCTGATGTCTGCCTACTTCCTTATCTACGGACCGAAGAAACTTCTCAATACGCATAAGTGAATGACTGGCACGTGCTGCAGTAACTTCATTAATTAAAGTTAGGACCGAGGTTTCTCAACATCTCTGTGAGTATGTGAGTTAGATGCTCTAGCGCTGAGATCAAGGGATATATTCTTTCCCTTTTGTCCTTTTACATTAACTTTGGGATGACGGAACTTCGTCTGTTACAAAAGCAAGCAAATTTGCCTGGTATATTTCTGATGAAACCATTTCTCTCCATTTCGCACTTTGAATAATAGACTCGGTATTACAAAATACGAATGTAAACTCTCCATCTGGAATTGCTTTCTCATCCTCTTCGTTTGACAGTTAAGTAACACTGAATCCACGCTTTCTTACTTCACAGACATGAGAGTCGATCAAAGAGTTCAATGGGCATATGACTATTAAAATGGGTTTCTCTGGGAAATTGTGTGTTTTTCCAAGTCGTTATGCTACACTGGGTACTATTTGGAATATTAAACTCTCAGTATGCAAAATACATCTTTATGATCAATCAAATTGGACAAGGCGCAGTATTGATGATCCATTAAACTTTTTATATCAGGAAATTTATCTTCCAAAGTAGCCTGAACTGCTTCTTTCAACTTGGTACATATATACCGTAAACCTCCGAATATAGCTAGCCCCCTTTGAATATAAGCCCACCCGTGTATATAAGCCCACCATGTAGGAACTGTTGTAGTGAGGAAATAGTCAACTGTCATGAAACCACCGAATCACATGTGGATAGTGACAACTCCATTACTGTGAAAGAAAGGAGTGTTTCAAGAGAAGATAAACAATTATTGCAGGACATTCTGGTTGATTATCAATCTCAACTTGCAGGAAATTGCAACTATTATTTGCATGCACAGTATTCCACAGGTTTCTCTGATAAACTGATTCAACTTATTCTCCAGCAAGCAAAGTATGTTTGTAGCATAGACTACATTATGACACACCTACATGTATTTAATCGCCAACATGCGGTGGAGATACTAAATATTTTTCATGAATTATTTGATGACATTGACGAAACCGACCTTGAAGCTGTTGATACTGGCACAGATGGTTGCTCAAGAACTGAACTAAATGAGAATGAGTTCCAGCCTTATTTATTAGTTGATATGCATGATTCAGATGAGGAGTCTACTTCAGATTGAATATGAAAGGGGCCATTCACAAAGGATGTCCAGCCAAATTATGGATTTTCAGACCCCCCCTTCCCCAAATTAGTGACCCCCCTCCCCCGGACATCCGCCATGCCTCGCAAAAACTCACGCAACCTTGTATATGTCAAGAGTAAAAAACTTTTTTACTTTCAGAATTTTTTTATAACTATAAATGTGAATACAAAAACATATAAATTACTAATTAAAACAAAATCTGGTATTAACTGCATAGTCAAAATGCCAATTTGACAATGGGAAGGAGAGTTCAAAATAGAGGAGAAAGAAATTTGTTTTTGATTTTTTTTTTCAATTTCGGACATCTGGATTGCTAAAAATCCCCCCCCCCCCATGTCCGAGTTTGTCCTGATTTTCCAACCCCCCTCCCCCCTCGGCTCGGATATCCTTTGTGAATGGCCCAAAATGGGAAAGCCTGATTGAAGACTATGTTTTCAGATATTAACGCTGTTGTAGGTAGATCATTATTTTATAATCACAAATACACAACATGTTCATATCATGTTGATATCATGTTCACTTTAATATGTCATTTATATATCACACTTTTAGTAAGTGGTTTGTTTTTTAGCATTTTCAGGGATACTTTCAAGCAGTTTCTCGATTACAATATACCTGCATGGAGAAATTATATATAGCTGTTACACTGTAAATTAGTAGTTATGAAAGAAAATACTCAATCATTGTAGGAATAATTAAACATATACAAAGGTATATGTCAACATGAAATTGCCAACAAAGCATGCCATAGTACAGTTTTTACAGTAAGAATTGTAAAATTCAAAATTTTTCCGGGTGACCACATGCCCTTAGATCCCTCTCTAAGAGGATAACTAAATAATAACTCAATCTTCTACTGGTTGATTAAAATGCTTGAAATATCCCTGATTTTATACCACTTATTGCATATTTTCCACAACATTAACTGTAATATGCCATATCATTTATTGCATATTTTCCACAACATTGACCGTAATATGCCATATCAAAATATCAAAACCAAGTTTATTTTTTAGCATCACCAAGCTTCCTTTTGTGTTCATTCATCCAGTCATTTAGGTTTTTGAAATTTATATTATGTAGTACATTGCGATCAAACTTGGGAAACTTGTCATACTCCCTGCCTTCTGTGAAACAGAACACTTCACCTTTTATGTGGAACTGGTTGACAAGTTCTTTAAAGTCAGACTCCCACTTCGCAATTACATGATGACCTGATGGCTGATGTCTGCCTACTTCCTCATCTACGGACTGAAGAAACTTCTCAATACGCACAAGTGAATGACTGGCACGTGCTGCAGTAACTTCGTTAAGGTTAGGACCGAGGTTTCTCAACATCTCCTTGAGTATGTGATTTAGATGCTCTAGCCTGAGATCAAGGGATATATTCTTTCCCTTTTGTCCTTTTACATTAACTTTGGGATGACGGAACTTCATCTGTTACAAAAGCAAGCAAATTTGCCTGGTATATTTCTGATGAAACCATTTCTCTCCATTTCGCACTTTGAATAATAGACTCGGTATTACAAAATACGAATGTAAACTCTCCATCTGGAATTGCTTTCTCATCCTCTTCGTTTGACAGTTAAGTAACACTGAATCCACGCTTTCTTACTTCACAGACATGAGAGTCGATCAAAGAGTTCAATGGGCATATGACTATTAAAATGGGTTTCTCTGGGAAATTGTGTGTTTTTCCAAGTCGTTATGCTACACTCGGTACTATTTGGAATATTAAACTCTCAGTATGCAAAATACATCTTTATGATCAATCAAATTGGACAAGGCGCAGTATTCATGATCCATTAAACTTTTTATATCAGGAAATTTATCTTCCAAAGTAGCCTGAACTGCTTCTTTCAACTTGGTACATATATACCGTAAACCTCCGAATATAGCTAGCCCCCTTTGAATATAAGCCCACCCGTGTATATAAGCCCACCATGTAGGAACTGTTGTAGTGAGGAAATAGTCAACTGTCATGAAACCACCGAATCACATGTGGATAGTGACAACTCCATTACTGTGAAAGAAAGGAGTGTTTCAAGAGAAGATAAACAATTATTGCAGGACATTCTGGTTGATTATCAATCTCAACTTGCAGGAAATTGCAACTATTATTTGCATGCACAGTATTCCACAGGTTTCTCTGATAAACTGATTCAACTTATTCTCCAGCAAGCAAAGTATGTTTGTAGCATAGACTACATTATGACACACCTACATGTATTTAATCGCCAACATGCGGTGGAGATACTAAATATTTTTCATGAATTATTTGATGACATTGACGAAACCGACCTTGAAGCTGTTGATACTGGCACAGATGGTTGCTCAAGAACTGAACTAAATGAGAATGAGTTCCAGCCTTATTTATTAGTTGATATGCATGATTCAGATGAGGAGTCTACTTCAGATTGAATATGAAAGGGGCCATTCACAAAGGGTGTCCAGCCAAATTATGGATTTTCAGACCCCCCCTTCCTTGTCCAAATTAGTGACCCCCCTCCCCCGGACATCCGCCATGCCTCGCAAAAACTCACGCAACCTTGTATATGTCAAGAGTAAAAAACTTTTTTACTTTCAGAATTTTTTTATAACTATAAATGTGAATACAAAAACATATAAATTACTAATTAAAACAAAATCTGGTATTAACTGCATAGTCAAAATGCCAATCAATTTCGGACATCTGGATTGCTAAAAATCCCCCCCCCCATGTCCGAGTTTGTCCTGATTTTCCAACCCCCCTCCCCCCTCGGCTCGGATATCCTTTGTGAATGGCCCAAAATGGGAAAGCCTGATTGAAGACTATGTTTTCAGATATTAACGCTGTTGTAGGTAGATCATTATTTTATAATCACAAATACACAACATGTTCATATCATGTTGATATCATGTTCACTTTAATATGTCATTTATATATCACACTTTTAGTAAGTGGTTTGTTTTTTAGCATTTTCAGGGATACTTTCAAGCAGTTTCTCGATTACAATATACCTGCATGGAGAAATTATATATAGTTGTTACACTGTAAATTAGTAGTTATGAAAGAAAATACTCAATCATTGTAGGAATAATTAAACATATACAAAGGTATATGTCAACATGAAATTGCCAACAAAGCATGCCATAGTACAGTTTTTACAGTAAGAATTGTAAAATTCAAAATTTTTCCGGGTGACCACATGCCCTTAGATCCCTCTCTAAGAGGATAACTAAATAATAACTCAATCTTCTACTAGTTGATTAAAATGCTTGAAATATCCCTGATTTTATACCACTCATTGCATATTTTCCACAACATTAACTGTAATATGCCATATCATTTATTGCATATTTTCCACAACATTAACCGTAATATGCCATATCAAAATATCAAAACCAAGTTTATTTTTTAGCATCACCAAGCTTCCTTTTGTGTTCATTCATCCAGTCATTTAGGTTTTTGAAATTTATATTATGTAGTACATTGCGATCAAACTTGGGAAACTTGTCATACTCCCTGCCTTCTGTGAAACAGAACACTTCACCTTTTATGTGGAACTGGTTGACAAGTTCTTTAAAGTCAGACTCCCACTTCGCAATTACATGATGACCTGATGGCTGATGTCTGCCTACTTCCTCATCTACGGACTGAAGAAACTTCTCAATACGCACAAGTGAATGACTGGCACGTGCTGCAGTAACTTCGTCAAGGTTAGAACCGAGGTTTCTCAACATCTCCGTGAGTATGTGATTTAGATGCTCTAGCGCTGAGATCAAGGGATATATTCTTTCCCTTTTGTCCTTTTACATTAACTTTGGGATGACGGAACTTCATCTGTTACAAAAGCAAGCAAATTTGCCTGGTATATTTCTGATGAAACCATTTCTCTCCATTTCGCACTTTGAATAATAGACTCGGTATTACAAAATACGAATGTAAACTCTCCATCTGGAATTGCTTTCTCATCCTCTTCGTTTGACAGTTAAGTAACACTGAATCCACGCTTTCTTACTTCACAGACATGAGAGTCGATCAAAGAGTTCAATGGGCATATGACTATTAAAATGGGTTTCTCTGGGAAATTGTGTGTTTTTCCAAGTCGTTATGCTACACTCGGTACTATTTGGAATATTAAACTCTCAGTATGCAAAATACATCTTTATGATCAATCAAATTGGACAAGGCGCAGTATTGATGATCCATTAAACTTTTTATATCAGGAAATTTATCTTCCAAAGTAGCCTGAACTGCTTCTTTCAACTTGGTACATATATACCGTAAACCTCCGAATATAGCTAGCCCCCTTTGAATATAAGCCCACCCGTGTATATAAGCCCACCATGTAGGAACTGTTGTAGTGAGGAAATAGTCAACTGTCATGAAACCACCGAATCACATGTGGATAGTGACAACTCCATTACTGTGAAAGAAAGGAGTGTTTCAAGAGAAGATAAACAATTATTGCAGGACATTCTGGTTGATTATCAATCTCAACTTGCAGGAAATTGCAACTATTATTTGCATGCACAGTATTCCACAGGTTTCTCTGATAAACTGATTCAACTTATTCTCCAGCAAGCAAAGTATGTTTGTAGCATAGACTACATTATGACACACCTACATGTATTTAATCGCCAACATGCGGTGGAGATACTAAATATTTTTCATGAATTATTTGATGACATTGACGAAACCGACCTTGAAGCTGTTGATACTGGCACAGATGGTTGCTCAAGAACTGAACTAAATGAGAATGAGTTCCAGCCTTATTTATTAGTTGATATGCATGATTCAGATGAGGAGTCTACTTCAGATTGAATATGAAAGGGGCCATTCACAAAGGATGTCCAGCCAAATTATGGATTTTCAGACCCCCCCTTCCCCCCTTGTCCAAATTAGTGACCCCCCTCCCCCCGGACATCCGCCATGCCTCGCAAAAACTCACGCAACCTTGTATATGTCAAGAGTAAAAAACTTTTTTACTTTTAGAATTTTTTTATAACTATAAATGTGAATACAAAAACATATAAATTACTAATTATTAAACAAAATCTGGTATTAACTGCATAGTCAAAATGCCAATTTGACAATGGGAAGGAGAGTTCAAAATAGAGGAGAAAGAAATTTGTTTTTGATTTTTTTTTTCAATTTCGGACATCTGGATTGCTAAAAATCCCCCCCCCCCCATGTCCGAGTTTGTCCTGATTTTCCAACCCCTCTCCCCCCTCGGCTCGGATATCCCTTGTGAATGGCCCAAAATGGGAAAGCCTGATTGAAGACTATGTTTTCAGATATTAACGCTGTTGTAGGTAGATCATTATTTTATAATCACAAATACACAACATGTTCATATCATGTTGATATCATGTTCACTTTAATATGTCATTTATATATCACACTTTTAGTAAGTGGTTTGTTTTTTAGCATTTTCAGGGATACTTTCAAGCAGTTTCTCGATTACAATATACCTGCATGGAGAAATTATATATAGTTGTTACACTGTAAATTAGTAGTTATGAAAGAAAATACTCAATCATTGTAGGAATAATTAAACATATACAAAGGTATATGTCAACATGAAATTGCCAACAAAGCATGCCATAGTACAGTTTTTACAGTAAGAATTGTAAAATTCAAAATTTTTCTGGGTGACCACATGCCCTTAGATCCCTCTCTAAGAGGATAACTAAATAATAACTCAATCTTCTACTAGTTGATTAAAATGCTTGAAATATCCCTGATTTTATACCACTTATTGCATATTTTCCACAACATTAACTGTAATATGCCATATCATTTATTGCATATTTTCCACAACATTAACCGTAATATGCCATATCAAAATATCAAAACCAAGTTTATTTTTTAGCATCACCAAGCTTCCTTTTGTGTTCATTCATCCAGTCATTTAGGTTTTTGAAATTTATATTATGTAGTACATTGCGATCAAACTTGGGAAATTTGTCATACTCCCTGCCTTCTGTGAAACAGAACACTTCACCTTTTATGTGGAACTGGTTGACAAGTTCTTTAAAGTCAGACTCCCACTTCGCAATTACATGATGACCTGATGGCTGATGTCTGCCTACTTCCTCATCTACGGACTTAAGAAACTTCTCAATACGCATAAGTGAATGACTGGCACGTGCTGCAGTAACTTCGTTAAGGTTAGGACCGAGGTTTCTCAACATCTCCTTGAGTATGTGATTTAGATGCTCTAGCCTGAGATCAAGGGATATATTCTTTCCCTTTTGTCCTTTTACATTAACAGTTCTGTTCCACATGAGACGATGTGCTTCTTGCGGTGTACAGAGTGCATATATGTTAGCTTGTAGCTGTAAACCTGCAAATGCATACTTATTGTGATTATATGCTTTGAACAGCAATGTCATGTATTTCCAGCACTTAATAATCCGCTGTCCATCCCCTTCTCTTACTGCATCATCAAAATTCCGTACAAACAACCCCCCATGCTAAGTCTAACACATGCATAGTTATATATGTAATCAGACTTGTCAGTACTTTTACTCTTTTCAGTTTCTTCACTCGTATCAGTTGAAGACTCGTCTTTGTGAACATTATAGTCATGCTTCTTTGTTTCATGATTTTCCATTGCTTTCTTGTAGCGATATTCCTTGTTGCAAACTCTGCAATTGTAAATATCTCTGGACTTGGGTCGATTATGCTGCTGCACTCCTTCTACCATACTATGAAATATTTCAGACTCTTTGTTCATTACATACTTTAATACCATACTTTTCACATGCCTATGATACCATAACCGCTTTTCATCATCACTCCCATTCAATATGTGTGGGGGGATGACCTCATCAACTGGCATATCAAGAGAGCTTATGCCAAAATATGTCATAGCACAAGCAGTTATAATGGCATCGGTTTCCATGTTAATAAAATTTTTACATTGATTTAAATTGTCAAGCACATTAGTAGTTCTAGCGTTGCTGTTGTTGACAACATTCATGTTGGAACACATTGTAGCCACATCAACAGATGAGTTCCCTTTATACAGTATGTCATACAGGATCTAATATGTCAAGAACAATATTATGATTAGAAAATAATTAAATTACAACAGGCAATTACAGC